CGGCTCGAAAGAGAATAGCGATGCTTTCCTGTCACCTGTTCTACTTGTGTGTCGTCAGCTGCTGCACAGGGCAAGGACAGTGTTCAGGAGTCACATGGGTAATGACAGTGGAAGGCTTAAAATTGGCGAAGGCAAGTTGCAGGAGAGACCTACCACCTGCAGTTTATGAGGTCTGGTCCTGGTTCAGGCATTGGGTCCCTTTGTCTATTTCAAAGGGTAGGTAAGTTACTGCAAGAGGTATTCAGTGATGTGAAATTGAGAAATGCAGTATACAGTTCAGCAAAATAGATACTTACCATACCACCTTCTCCCCCTCCCCCCCAAAAAAAGAAAAAAAATGGTTTTTGGCATCAAGAAGGAACACAGTTCTTCTTTGATGCTCTCTGTCACACGTGAAAGTACAGGAGGTCCCTCTTTAGCCACCAGGGGGGTCGAAGGGACAACATTCCATGTCATGTTACCTGCTGTTGAGATCCAAGCTGATCCTAGGGAACTGTTGATTTCTATTGCCAGATCATGTCCAAGATTTGTTTGTACAACTCCCTCTGTGGCTCCTTAATGCATGCTACTGGACATGGGGAACTGTAGATGGCCTGGGACAGCAATTCTCACTTTTTCCAGTATGGCTGAAGGTACACCACCAATGAAAATCATTACTCAACAAAAACCCTTACGGGTAACTGGAATGAAGAATGGTACAATATCCAGAGAATTGTGCAGCCCAAGCCACTTCCTTCCCAAGTATGTCCTTGCGCTTTTCCTTATTGTAGATATAGCAAATCTCAGTTGAGATGATTACTGGTCACTACATTTGTCATGCACACAGAACATTATCTTTTTCATCCCCAGCTGCAAACACATCAGAGGTAAGCCTCTAATGAGTCCTGCTCCTAGTCTTTTCTACTGTTTTTTAAAAATGCAGAAAGGCAACAGTCAGCACCTTTTTATCTGTTGAGTGCCCTACAACAGTCCCACTACAGGAGTAAAGATGTGGAGAATGTTTTTTTGTTTAAACTCAGTCTTACTCCTTGTAACAGTGGCCCCAGTCCAGCTCTCTTGCCTCTGCTGTTCAGATGGTGAATCAAAAGTCATCACCGAAGCTTTGTGATCTTAGGTTAGTCTGATTTGAAAGTAGTAGTGCAATTGCAGATACTTTGGTCTTCCTGTAAGATATAAAATATTAAAGTTTTTTACTTATATTTAGCCATGCTAAATGTGAGTTTTTCTTTTCAGTATACTCATTGCTTTGAAACAACATACGCTTCAGATTACAACAAGGGAAAGCATCAGAGAATAAAAAGTACGTGCACAGAACTGAAACATAGTCTGTTGGATCTGTAGTGTAGCTAAAGAGGAGCTTCTTAATGACATTTGTGCTTAGAGATGACAGAATTGTTTTCTGTCATTTTCTTACTGTTGAGTTGTGCTCCAGTGCCGCCACAGAACAGGTATTTCGAGTCATTCAGGGAGTACTATTTGCATTTCAAGTATTCTTGACTAGCTAACCTCATCATGTTTATCCCCAAGGAGCTTTCACTCAAAATTCCCATTTCTTGCTTCTGAGTTTGAGCCTAACAAAACCTGCTCTATAGAAAAAATTTCCCTCAGTTGCACTTTCTGGATATATTCTTACTATTTTGCACTTACTTCCCCAAGTTTATTTGTGATTAGGATTTCAATGAGAATCTCATTGGTTTCCAGGCCACCACCCTGAGCTGGAACCTCCTTCATTCAACCCAACTGCTCAGTCCTTCCATACAATAGACTACAGGCCTCCATATGGCAGCGTTTTCTTTGCTTGTGTCCAACACTCAGAGAAGGAACAAGAAGTGTGCAGGAAAAGCAACTGAGATGGAGACAATCTGCAGACTATGCCTGCAGAAAAACAGGAGGCCTGTCTGCTAGCAGTGCTACAAGGATATCCTTCAAGCAAAAAGACCTGTCACACATTAAAGCCGAATGTAGCATCATGTGAAAGATGTTCTTCCTGCTTTCTAAGCTGCATTGTTTGCAACCTATGCGTGTTTCTGTCATTTGTTTTGTGTGCAAGTCACCAGTCACCCTACACCTTATCAGTCAAACCCACTAACACCTTAACTGGAAGAGCTTATTAGAACCAGCTAATAGGAAACACTAGACCTTGGCAATTAGGTGGGAATTAGGGTATTTGACAATGACCTCACATCACTGAGTGCTCATTTTATTTTTCTCACTTAAAATCATGGAAGAAAGATGCCCTCTCAGTTCATTTGAGATTTAAACTGATCCCTTCTAATACAACTTTTGTCTTAGCAGGTTAGAAAATAGGTCATAACTGAGTCTGATGATCTGTGTGACAGATCTATGGCATTCTGTCCTTTTTGGAGATGAATTTTAGAAATTCAATTCCAGTAATACAGACTTTCCTTTATGCTCATATCCCTTTGAAGAGAGGTGCTAAGCAGATGATGACACCTGAGAAGGACTTTATAGTGTTTTGTACCACTCAACAATGTTAGCATAAATCAGAGCTGTAAATATATATATATAAATACTGTAGACATCAGGTCCTGCTCATTGTTTCAAGGACACTGACAACATAGTTTCAAAGTGATGTGATTTGCACCATGAGAGCAGGTTGTTTCTCTCCTCTCTGTATATATCTGTGTTTACTGCAGCTATGCAGTTTTCACCTGCAAATGCTCTGAAATCGTTGCAGCACTTGGATGCTTCTCTGTAACATGAGTCATTCTAGAGATTTAAGATACAGTTGTCTTCCGTTCAGTTGTTGTCTAATACCCACACTTTGAATGGCTTTCAATCGTCACAAAGTTGTTTTACCAGTCTAATCTCCACTGGTGAAACTTTTCTATTGTTTGTGAAACACTCTGAAATCCTCTGGCAATGTTGAAGGAAAAGGCTTATGCAATTAGATGTTTGCAAAACATTAGAGTACATGAAGTGAAACTAGCAAAGTGTTTCTGAACACCAAGACAAGCTCTCCTGGACACACCTGCCACTCAAGCTGTAAGCAAGAATGATGCCAGGTATGTTTCTTTGCACAGCAACCTTACACAGCTTTCTTGACCCAACACTTCCCTTGTCCTCAGTGCTCAAAACAAAAAAATACAAACTGCTTATTCATGTTTTATTTGTTAGTAAACTTACTCAGCATAAATAATAAGAGTAGCCATTCAGTATAGCTGGCATCTGAGGAAAAGTGCTCTTGAATGGCCCCCCGGGGTGACTTTAAATAGCAGCCTACTTCCTTTGGGCTCCTGCAATGGCAGGCTTCTCTTCACGGGTGATAGGGATAGTGCGCTCAGGGACATCGCTTTGTTTCCTCGGTGCGCTCACTGTCAGGACACCATCCAGAGAGAGTGATGAAGTTATGGTCAGAGGGTCCACATCATCTGGAATCCTGTATTTCCTGTTGAACTCCCTGGCAATAAAGCCATGCTCATCCTTCAAAAGGAGAAGAGAAGGAACAGCCCTGATTAGAATCACTCAGTTCCACCTAAACCATGGGTCCTTTGCATAAAGTCTGAGCTCAGGAAGGTCCAGCTCTCAAAGGAAAACATTTCAGAAAGTTAATTTTTATTATGAGATGCCCTTTTAAAAGAGCCAAGACTGGCCAAAGTGAGACAATGCCCTGCTTAGGCTGCAGGTGCCTGTAGGTACACTGTTTACAGGAGTAGGCTTTATGTTCCAGCTCTTGTGCCAGCCAGAGACTAGCTTCATAGCACAGTGGTGTGCTGTCATTCCTAAGATGCAGCAGCTAGACCTACATGCAGTGCCCAACTACATCTGTTCCTGAGGGTCTCCAGAGCTCTGGTAATACACAACTTTCTAGTGAGCTGGTTTCTGCTATAGTGCTTGATTATTTTCTTAGCCAAAAAAATTTTCAGAAGCTATGTCAGGATTACATGCTTCCACCAGCTACAAGTAATGCTGTATTTCCTGACTGACAGATCTGTGCTCCCAGAAGGTCTTACAGCTGACAATTCCAGTGACATAGCTATTTTATCATGTGGATTACTTTCCTTCTGGCAAGGAGGTGGGGTGTGGGAGGGAGATGGGGACTGGTAAATGCTCTTACATAGAGCTTTGAACATGCCTTTTGACTCCTGTGCCTAGTTGCCACACAGGTGTCCAGAGCCAGGAAGCAGTGGGATGACTGACAGCAGAACACAGCATTTAAGGATTACAAACTGATGGATGGGCCTTTTTCAGGAAGAGGTAGCTTCATAGTAACGGAACAGGGTAATGCACTGATTCATTATGTGGTTTAATTACTATACTTCGTTGTTAGCTTATTGAATGCCTCCCTGCATTCCTGGCGTCTTCCCAGAAAGAGGGAGGCCCAGAAATGCCTGGTTCTAAGATGATTTTCCAGTTCAGTTCACAGTTCATGTAACGTCAGCAAGAAATCTCTACCCTGTTGCTGCCCAGTCTGGGATGAGCTGGGGGGTTGCACAGAGCATCTTCCATTAGGACTGGTTGATAAAAAACTTTTACAAGTGTTTGAGATTAGCACAGGAAAGGATTGTTTTGCAGTCTCCTTTTTTAACCATAGATGAGGAAGTTCACACTGACTATCAGTCGCACAGTGAAAGCAGAAGTACCTGGCGCTCCTCATGTTTCCCGTGAATTTCTATCATGTCCCCAAGCACCTTCACTTTTAGCTCCTCAGGGGAGAAATGCTTCACATCAAGATTTACAGAAAATTTGTCCTTCTCCAGTCTCATCTGCAAAACAAGGAGGTGACTTAAGAAAAGAGCAGGTGAGGGTTTAATCTTTAATAGGGTCTCAGAATATAGCAGTTCAAGACTCAAACTGGTATCCCCTTATGCACTGTCTGACCTTCATTTGATCCTGGGATTCTGATCTGGGTGGCTTTGTCCCTTGCTGGCCTGTTACATTAATGCCCATCACTACAGTATCTAAAATGTGAATGCTTTCTCTTGATCACATGGGATAAATGTTTTCTTTGGGAGGGAGGAAGAGATTCTCTTAACCTGAATTTGTTAAAACTGACTTTTAATTGGCATACACGTTTTGCATCCAATTCTTTTTACAGAATGTCTGGAGGTTTCCAGTTTCTGTGACTGGATTTTGCAAAGTCTTTCAAGCAAAAGAAACCCTGACTGACTGTGCAGCTGACTACAGCTCATCTGCAGGCTTGCAGGCCTTCCTTTGCATTATCACTCTTTAGTAATCAAAATAATGTGTCACTGGTGAGCGGTAGTGCCTCACTGCTCACCTCTGTTATCTGAGCAGCAGGACTTCTGCCGAAACTCTGTGACACCTGCTGCTAATCTCACCCATTTCCCTTCCATTTTGCCATTTGT